TGTTCAGATCTATAATGCAGACATATTTATTCTAGAAAAGAAAGAAGAAAGAAAARGTGAACTTATACTTCCCTTGTAATCTGATAACTTGAATTTGATTCTGTGTGTTAGTTTCCAAAGAAAATTCAAATTTTTCTTTTAAAGTTTTGATATCAGGTTATTTGGATAGTCAGAGATAAGATATGCCGAAAGCTTGTGGATAAAAGAGGAGCAAATGTGCAAATTTCTTCAAACAGCAGAACCGTTTCTTGCCAAAGCAGCTGAGGCCACTTAGGAATGTAAGCAAGCACCTGAAATAGGGCCACTAAGAGGCACTCATAACTGCATAATTCTGTGGAATACGTGATAACATTTTCCTGCTCAAATTTAAAACTTCTAAAGGCAACACAGAAATGGTGTGCATTGTGTGTGAGTGTTTATAAAGCATATATCTATTTATCTGCAGATATTGCAGTCAAAATTAGTATTTATTTTTATGACTTGCATCAGTTTGAGGTTTTGTTACTTATTGTGGCTGGAATGCTCCTCGCTGTGATTACTATCATATTAAATCACAGAATCACAGAATATTCAAGGTTGGAAGGGACCTCTACAGATCTAGTCCAACCTTCCTGCTCAAGCAGGCACACCTAGAGCATGTGGCACAGGGTGRCATCCAGGCGGGTTTTGAAGACCTCCAGAGAAGGAGACTCCACAACCTCCCTGGGCAGCCTGTTCCACTGCTCTGTCACCCTAACAGTAAAGAAGTTCCTCCTCACCTGGAGATGGAACTTCCTGTGCTCCAGCTTGTGGCCATTACCCCTCGTCCTATTGCTGGCCACCAGTGAGAACAGCTTGTCCTCTTCCTTCCTACATTCTCACTTCCTGAACTTATACATATTAATCATATCCCCTCTCAGCCTTCTCTTCTCCAGAGAAAACAGGCCCAGCTCACTCAGCCTCTCTTCGTACGAGAGATGTTCCATTCCCTTAATCATCCTGGTTGCCCTTCTCTGGACCCTCTCGAGAAGCTCCATGTCCCTCTTATACTGAGGAGCCCAGAACTGAACACAGTGCTCCAGGTGCGGCCTCACCAGAGCTGAGTAGAGGGGCAGAATCACCTCCCTTGACCTACTGGCAACAATCATGCAAGGCATTTCACATATCATATCTGTGACTCTACTTGTATTTGACCTTCGTTGTTGTTTGGCTGTGCATGGACCAATGGCATTGAAGGCATGTTTCAATCTGTCACTATGCGTTAGCTTTTATGAATACTATATAACAATTTTCCACTAAGTCATAATTGGAAACGGTGATACTATCATGACAGATTTTCAGCATGCTCTTCCTAGCTATTTTTAATAGAGATGAGCATATCTATATGTTAGATTAAATACTGAGGCCAGAAGGGAGCATTAGGAGGTGCTTTTATAACAACCTTCGTGTTTCTTCCTGGTTTAAAACAGATACTCAGTGCGCTGCATTCATCCAGGCACACACAGAAAGTGATGGAAAGGTATCTTCATCACTTTGCCTAGCCTCTATAACCACAGCTATTTTGCCTAGATTTACAGTAGAAAACAACATCTAGATGAGTAAAGCAGAAGAAAATAAGTGTCCTTCTGTCACAGGTAGATGAGACTCTGCTTGGCACTGAAATACACTCCTTTTACATACAATCATTTATTACCATATAAGTAGTTAAGGAGAACAGAGCAGCAAACAAATGTAATCTCTAACGCAAGTTTAAGATGTGCTATGATTCAAACTGTATTTCTTAACTCTATCACAATCTGGGTCAGCTTGAAAGCTGAGAGTCTGCACTGTCTCATCTGAATCTCCATTAATTAATATGCTTGCCAGAACTTATTTGTTTGATTTAGGCAATGGTCAGTGGCCCATCACAATTCTGTGGGTTTCTTTCATCTTTTTCATACATATCTTTTATTGTGTGTTATATGTCCATATGTTATATGTCCATATGTTATATGTCCATATGTTATATGTCCATATGTTATATGTCCATATGTTATATGTCCATTCTGGTAGCGTTTCTTATGATCTCTCATGCTTTATGTGTTTCATATGTGTGTGTGTGAAAGGGAAGAAAAAAAGGAAAAAATGTATTAATAGGTCTCTGACCTATTAATATCAGAGACCAGCTATTCAGAAACTCCATACATCCTTTTAAAATTTTAAGTAAATTCACGAAGCTCTATGCAGCAGAATATAGAAAACAGAACAGACTTCCAGTCAAAGTGCCTTTATATTCATACAGTAAAATAATAGAATATTAGAAGGCATAAGTCTGGACTGCTATCAGAGACTAGGCTATTAACTTTTTATAATATATGCACTCTTTAGAATGCATATAACCATGCTAAAGATAAATTCAGGAAAGATAAGTAGGTGTTTAGTGTCCAAAAGTGTTCTATAGGTCTTTTTGTTAGTGAAGTCTAACCTGACAAAAGAAAATATCAGCAATGCTGCCTTCTCAGGTTTTGTAGCATCTTTCGAAAAACAATTTCCAGTTCCTTTGCTCCCATAAGATCTATAAGAGTTTTGCTTCAGTGTTTTTGTGGGAACGACACCATAGGTAGCATGAAAAAGAAAAAAAAAGATACTAAATATAATAATCACAAGTAGAATACATGAAAAAAAGGAAGGTACTCGACAGTTCTCAGACAACATAYGAGCACTGCATATAAGAGATGTACTCATAAATATAGCATTTGTGTGAAATTCACTCCACAGTATTTTGCCTTGTTTATCTTTTGCAGAGCAAGCCTAGCAAAGCTACTGCTCAGTGTTTGGGGGAGTTGTAAACAAGTGTTCTCCTAACTCTGTACTATTACTCATCTTGAATGACAGTAAACAACTTTTTCTTCCAGCATAGGATTATTCTAAGTTCAACGTCAAAATTAATCAAACTCTCTTGACTAATTAAAATTATATATTATCATCCTGATTGCAATCATCTATCAAAGATCATTTCCTCCTGCAATTTATAAGGTACATAATCAGTGAAAAAGAACAACAAACCAAAAGTTTACAGAACCAAAACACTAGCTGAAAATTATGTGTTATATAAAATTAAGTGGACAAAAATAGTCTGGCACTTACAGGGAATCCTATGTATATGTCATGCCTTTCACAAACTCAGGTGAGATCTTTCCACAGCCTAATTAATACATGTTACACTTTTCATTGCCTGTTATTATCAGTATCCTAGTGTAAAGATGTAATCTTTAAGGTTGGAAGAAAAATGACATTCTTAATAATTGTATTTCTGTTAAGCTTCCAAGCTTTCCCTTCCCTCTTCCTCCCCCTTTTCATATCCTCCCCACACACATTGTCTTTCAGCATCACTGATTTAAGAAATCAAAACCTTTAGGATGTCTAAATTGGAAGCAAGTGATACAAATTCACAGAGATTTTCTGTAGAACTTTCAGGTTTCTTCACTTCTGCCTAATGTATAGGCACCTATCTTGTCCTTATCTGACCGTTGCCTCTTCATCATCTGCCAGAATGTGCCCTTCAGGTTTGTTATCAACTGGGAAGTGAACCAGATGGTCTTAACCAGCCAACCAAAGATAGCAGTGATATTGAGAAATAGCACTTTTATTTCAGACTCGCTTCAAATACGAACACACCAGGAATGTAGAAATATGACATTCAGTAGTGATGCATTGAGTTTCTGTTGGGCTGGATGATTTTCTATTCTCTCCCCATGTCTCCAGGATATGTTTGACCCAATTATAGCTCTGGACCTTAACTCACTAAAATAAAAGGCAACAAAACTTCTATAGATGCAATTTTCACTCCAACTGCCTAAATCTCAACAAAGCACTAGAGAAATATAGCAATTCATTAGAGTTACCTAAACATCTAGAATTAATTGGTAAGCATCATCTGAGTATTACAATGAAGTATGTTGTATTACCTCTTCATGGATTGCTAACTGGCTTATACTGTCTAAAGACTGGATTCTCGAGAAAGGGCAGAAAGGAAGAGAGAGAACTGAAGGGATGCTTGACATAACATGCAAGGTATTGCAGAGGGAGCAAGAGATTCTTTCAGAAAGAACACTTTAATAGAGGATTCAAGAAATCTTTTATAAAGATTACAGAAAGTTTTCCCTCCCCCGCCCCCACCTTCTCATTGTTAGAGGGCTTTAAGGCTTTAGGTCCCTGGAGTAAAAGAGACTAGAGAGAGAGGTATGGAAAAAAAAAAAAATCTAATTAATGTTTTGGATGAGGTTCAACTAAAAAAATATATAATTATAACAAATTCTTAGATTTTTACTAGGACAACACCTGATTTATAATTTCATAATGAAATCTTTAGCAGGACAATCTCATTTTGTAAATAAATTATTTGTAATAGAGGAGAATTTTAGTAAAAAGTATCAAACAATCAGCATTTAAACTTGGAGTAACTGCAAAAATAAATATATGCTTTAAACCATTTTTTCCATTTATAATTTTTGTAAACTCTTTTGACTTAAAATTTCCTTAGACATAATTATATAAAAGCATTTACATATGTGTAGATGAACGCATATTTAATTTTTTCTGCCTATGGTAAGGGGAATAGGAGAAAAATAGATACACACACAAAAAAACAATTTCTAAACACCATTTGCTATTCCAGAGGATATTTTCAAGGCTAGGTATAAATAGTGAATGGGTCAACCACAAAAGGTCATGTCCATTTAATTTCATGGAGATAAGAAAATTGCTGATGTGTCAGTGAAAAGAATCTGAGTGCTTAAATTCATCTTTTCTCTGGGGTATAAATAGTGGCTTTTTAATCYCATCTATTTGTGGTAGCTAGAATGCAGGCTGTATGATAAGCATTTAGTAACTGGCCTCTCTTGATACATGTATAATTCAAGTTTGGTGTCTTTATTTCATATATTTTATAACATCAGCAGAATGAATCCAAGCTTTAAAGATATTTTGACTTTCTACTATCATTACGTAAAGTATATCTTGGCCTAGAAATATTTCCTAAATAGATGCAGACTTTGAAGTTGCATTCAGAAGCTGAGTGTCGCATCCAGTGCCTCAGAGCTCAGACCAAAGCTAAAAAAAAAAATCAGAACTTTTAAGATTTCAATACAAATTCTGTAGCTTGGGCTAATTCATGCCACTGGTCAAAAAGAAAAGGGATTAATTCATAAAGGAGACTGAATTAGCTAAAAATGTCCGAGATGGATCATGTTGCTATGATGTAATGTAAAATATTGCTGAGCAGAAAAGCAGTGACATAGATTGCTGATGAGAATTCCAAATATTAGGAGAAAGGGTATCAGTTTCTTCCCAATTTTGTCACCAGGGAGACATAATAAGGATAAAAGATATGGTTACTACATCCCAATTTCCTACACTCTGCAACATACTATCTTCATTAATATTATATTTTAATTTTGTAGAATATTTTCTCTGAAGATATTAAACCTTTTAAAAAATTGAACTTTTTTTTAAAAGATATCCATGTGATAGCCTGTTTTGTAACCATGAAACAAATATTGAAATTAAGAAGAAATTGAAAGTCATAAGTCTAAACTTTTCAAATTCAGAAAAAAAAAAAAGGTATCTAAACTCATTTGACATCACCTAATAATTTAGTTCCATTTTATGAAATACTAAGCATCCACAGTCTTTTTAAAYTGGAAAAATCAGGTCATTTATTCAGATATATTTAGCTGATTGAATTCAAACTGTTTGGTCTCAGTGAATTGCTTAAGATACATAGCAAATTAATAACAGATGAGAATAGAACCCAGGTGCCTCAGGCATCAAATTGTTTTTCTATGTTAAATAAAAGCATCTTTCTGCTTAACACAGCAATGAATTTCAAATTAAAAAAAGTCCTGTTTTAGCTTACCATGAGGCATCTGGTAGATGCAAATTGAGCAGCTCACTTTGTTATTCTAAACTGATATTGGAGGAAGGAATTAAGCAAGATTGAAGAAGTTATATGTTCACATAAACTGCCCAAATACTACAAAACTCTAAATAATATATCCAAGATATGATTTGATATGCTTCATAGATGGGGGGAAAAAAAAATTCTAGGAGCCTGTGACTTTTAGGCATCATTTTTGGGAATAAGAGGCAGGAAAATCAAGAAAATGGAGCAAGATGGAGCATCTGCCACCAGCGTGTCTTCTCCCACAAGATACACAAGTTGAAACACAAACACATAAAAAAATCTACAGTTTAAACTTGCACATATAAACAAAGAGGATGCACCTGGACATCACATYTCCAAAACAATCATCAAAACCAAATAAGTGACCAAAATCTTGCCAAAAGAGGAGCCAGGCATTTGCCACCTTAACATTTACTCCTTTCATCATCACTGCTGCCATGCTGCCCATCACCACCAATCRCAGGTCCAATCCCCTGCTACACAGCCTTCCATCCTCGCCTATTTTAAACTATCTTTAAAAATCTTATCTTTTAAAATATAGCTATTAAAATTTACAATATATTTTTCTTCTACTTCCTTCTACTATTTTCTTCTTAGCATATTACTACATGTATATAATCTGGCCACACTTCCTTAATGCAGAGCATTTGATTCATATTTAGGCAYCAAGAAATTCTACAATCACAGAAAGAAATTTGGGAAAGTGATACTTGTGTGTGTCACAATAGTATTAATACCAAATAGCAGATATCACAAGAAAAAAATAGGCAACATGCACTCAAYTCAAGTTTCCTTTCTTTTGCCTGTATTAAAATACTCTTGAAATAACTAAAAAATAGGTTGAATATTTTGAGCTCCCAAAAAACTCTATTCATTGAATATGCATGTAGAATTCCGCATCAATCCACTAATTGATAAGTTAGAGGAGGAAAAACGTGAAGATCATATCCTCTTTCCTTATCAAGAGCAAACTCCTACATATGCATGTCAACTATAATGCAATCAAAATACCAGTACTGTGACTATATACACCAGTATAAAAACACCCAAGTGTAAGCTATACTGTGGGAAAGAAAGTTAATCTAACCTGGTACTTCACTGGCAGTAACCTGTGTATTGGGACTTTTGAACACATTTATACTTTTGTGAACAGTGTTAGGGAGTTTCAGTATTTATTATTGCATATTGTAGGGAAGAATGTTCCTTTAGCCCTTCTAACACAAAATTAAATCTCTGTCTCTGCTCCCTCCTCCTTCCCTTCCCTCTCCCTGCACTTGTGTTGGGGAAATTTAGAAGTGTTTTTTTTCTTTTCCCCATGGTATTCATGATTTTACTTTCCCCTTCCCATCATCTAGTTTTGCAAAGAAAAGAAGCCTAGTCCATTCAATCTCACTTTGTACATCCTTTCCATAAGTTCATCATTTTTCTGGCCTTTTCTGCACCTTTTTAGCTCTATTGTGTCCTTTTTGAAAGAGGTGACTAGAATTATATGCAGTAATCTAGACTGTGATTCATTCAGAGACACAGTTATGTAGCCTGTTTAGTTCTCTATTCTTTTTCTAATAATTGTAATATTCTATTTTTTATTTTTTTTCACCACTACTGAAGGTTAAGCTGGTATTTTTGTAAAGGTATCTCTAGAAACTCAACAAATCAATTTCTCATGTAATTAAAAAAAGAATAATTTAAATCTCTACAGTTATATATGCACAGCCTGCTTTTTTACCCATGTGTCTTATTTGGCATTTATTGATATTGAATTTCATTTACTGTTTTAGTATCAAGTCAGTCAACGAAAGATTAAATCTTCACAATAGGATTTAGATTTTTTCGAATAATTTTAACCCACCAACGTTTTTGTCAACTTCCCACCCACCCCTTTTCTCAGAGCATATGTGGATAGACTGAATAACATATATTCCAGCATATATCCCAGAAACATGCAACTGGGCATTTATCTCGGAGCACAGAACAGCCTGAATACATTGCCTCTTTCGGACAAACCCCTTCTTTTAGTATCCTGCAATAAAGCTATACCAAAATTTCCCGTAAAATTATTAGCACTGATAAGTAAGAGTTCTGAGTATTTGAAAAAGAATATGACCATCAAATCTGGAAAAGAAGTTATTTAAATCCGCAGGATAGCTTTCTCAAACACTTGTTTATGTGGTGCTATGCCAAGCTTCTTGCTTTTGTATATAACATCACTGTCTCCTCATAGATCATAGAGTTTCTAGGTTTCCCTGTGTGTTCAACCAAAAGAGTAAAGATCAAAATAAACTGCTCAGGGCAAAACAGTGCAGAACAGTATGGTACATCTAGCTCAGAAAGAATTTGTCCATAATCAGATAACATTTCATGATACATTTTCCCTTGCTRCAAAGTAGAAATGAAGGAAGAGGTTTAAATATAATAGGTTGAAGTATGCATAAGAAAGAAAATCATTTTTACAACATGAGAAACATCAAAAAATGTATTACTAGTTTAGTGGAAGAAAATCAAACCTGAGCTACACTTGCGACTTTACTATTTTCATTAAGTTTCAGGAGAACTTTTGTTTTCATGAAAGTTTTAATGTACATTTTAACTACACTCTTGTATTCACTGTATTATTCAAGAAAGGCAGTTTGTATACTGTACCATACCTAATATCACCTTTTCTTGTCACTTATGCTACCCTAAGTTACATTTAGGTTGGTAAATTTTTCTTACTTTTAACACGTCTTCAGTCTTTCTGGCTTTTCCCTGAAACAGTAGCTTAAAATAACAAGATGTTTCACTACTGCAATTGTGGGAACGTCACCAGCTTGGCTTCAAATTACCACTAAGGTTTTCTTGAAACTTAAGGTCCAGGTGTTCCAGAACATTTACACATATTTTAAGTATTTCAAACTGATATGAATTCAACTTTCAAGTCAATTAAGTCTCATTTAGAATGCACGAGTAAATAATTAAGTTACACCCAACAAGGAAAATCAAATCATAAAAACGATATAGAAATTAATCAGTCAAAACCCTAGCAACACGAAAGAGACCCAAGAAAAACATTCATCTACTAGTCAACAAACAGAGAAAACTGTAACAAAATGAAKGCCAGCAGGCTTGCATTTTTAGTTAATGACCATACGAGTCACACCTGCCTTGGGTGGGGTTTTTTTTTGTTGTTCGTTTGTTGTTTTTTTTTGTGTGTGTGTGTGCACGTGTGTTTGTGTCACACGAGCCTTCAGGTGGTGGTGAGCATAATTAACACCAGGCACAAAAGTCTAAAGCTATCATACAGAAAGAACAGATGAAAAGGAATTCAAGTATTTTAAATGCTTTCAAGTTGTCTGAGACAGGTACTAATGCAACCACTGCRTATTTACTAATGCAGCACAGGTGAGAATTGAGTTTGAGTATATTGCAATCTGTCTGCTGCAATTCTAGGTTATTATTTTTTGCCTAGAGCAACTTCTGGCTGGCCTCTGTGAGCACTGATTGTGTACAGATAGCTGCTACTGGAGGACTTCATGCTCTCATTCCAAGTGGGACAATCTATGTGTGTTTTTCATCTTTGCTTAAGATTCACTCCTTCAAAATTGCTAATGATATAGTTGTGCATATGCTGCAAGACTTTCAGGATAAACACAAGGCAAATTCAAACTTGAAAGTAGTCCTCTTTGATACTAGATTGCTGAAGTGGGTGCAGCTCTTCTGAGAGTTTTTAAATGGCAGCTGAAAAATGAAATAACTGTAGCACTTCCAYGAAGGAAGCAAGGAAATGATTTACAACAAATATTGATTTGCAAAGAACAATCCCATCTTTCCTCCTGTGACAAAGTGAAGGGCCTTGTGCACACAGGAGAAGCAGTAAACATTATTACTGTAATATTGCTACCTCAATGCTGCTAGGCAGCTTTTCTGCAGAAAGAGATGKAGATTTAGCTGTCTTCAGGCTGACCACACAATTGAGCTTTTTATAAAAGAGAGATATATCTTATTGCACATGTGAATCTTTGCATATTTGAATGAGTGAATTTGAATACTGCTGAAGCATCAGCTGGACTACTATGTTCTGTTTTGAAGTGACATTTAAGTAGAGTCACTTGAATGGAGAGAAATGGACTGCATTTGGGTAGACATTTAGAGAATAATGTCAGGAAAAGACCATAAGAGAAGGAGCTGTTTGGCTTAAAGATAAGAAGCCTAAAGAGAATTGATAAAAGTCTGTGTAACTAGTAGCTGCCAAGAGGAATGGAATAGACTGTTTTCTTTGTCCACAGTAAGTATAAAGAAAGTTACACTAAGGAAAACTCCATTTTATTCACAGTTTTCATTTCCAGTAAAAAAAACAAACTTCTAGAGATATCATAAGCTGTCTCTAATTGGAGTGTGGCAAATGTTGATAAGAAAACACTTCACAGAAAAGACAGAATATGGCTTTGGCAGGTAAATGAGCTAGGTCCTGAGCTSTGCTTCAACCCAGTGCTCTGCAAATTTATGACTGAATATGAAGAAGGCATTAATCTCCTTTCCTACTACCCATGTTTAAATTAACAATTTCTTTGAAGTAACTTGCAGAACAACTTTAATACTGATATTCCAAAATTCTGAATGGTTGATATTCTTTATAAGGGCTATGTGTGACTTTGTTAGATGAAAACTTAACGATTACTATAATACCTTCTCACAATGTTCTTATATTGCTCCTTATTTCAGGAGGACTAGTGACTAATACTGCTTTCCTTGGTGTGTTTTCTTGCTTTTTACATTTTAAACACATTTAATAACTTGAATTACCCTCCTTCAGTTAGTTCTTTTCAGCATTAATATACTGTATCAGTTTCTGGTCAGAAGAYTTCTTTTATAACATCAGTAAAATAAAGTACAATCAAATAGATCGAAATAGGCATGAACCAGTATTCTGGAACCTGCAGAATTTCAGAAAAATTAGATCTAGATGTGGAAGTGTGCCTGTTACAAATTAGAAGAGAAACAGAGCCATAACTGTGCAGTTCAGCTTCACTGACTTGATTCACAAAGCCACATTTATTTAAAAACGAAGGAGAAAGAGACTTACAGCTATTAAGTGCTTGTATTTTAAAGTAACAGAACATAGAATGCAGATATCAAATCTCACTTTTACTTAATTTTATTAGTTTTAATTATGAAAAAGAACAAAATAAGTCAGAAATTATTATTATTATTTTTTTAATTCTCAAATCATGAATTCAGGTTTCCTATTTCCTTTTCTTGTCTCTGATAGTCTTGCAAATCTGCCTACTTACGTGTGCCGCTGGAAAGGTACTGTGAATTACATTACTCAGTATTAAGGTATTTTGCTATCCATGAAAAAAAGCTGCCCTATAATATAAGCCATTGTTATTTTTACCTAATATACTATTCAGTCACATTTTACACACACACACACACACACACACACTGTTTAATACTCAAATAAGTACATGACAACAGTTTTTTTTTCACCTGAAAGTTGTACAATTTGCTTTAAACCCATTAAAGTTGGTCCTTGCTTCAGATTGTCAGCTGATCAGATCTTGGCAGTACCTTGAGATGTCCAGCAGTCTGTTGGACTGTCACCATTTCAGAAGTACAATTTTCCTTTCAGAAAAAGTGCAGCATTAGACATATATTTTCTTTGATACAGCAGATGTAGAAGCCAGTAGCCAAGTGATCAATACATATCCAGGCTTTGCCCTACTGCAAGCGTTGCAGTTATCAAATATATGGTCTGATGTTGTAAGTCTTGCTCAAATGTTGTAAGTGGACGCAGCTGTGCTTGCACTCTGTGGCCAGGAAGGACTCTACTCCAGGTTGCACAGTAAGATTACATGCAGCCATTTGCTAAAYAGTTTCTGTTGAACTAACAAAGACATTGCTTCATTTGTAGAGGCTGATAGGTCAATGTTCTAGTTCCAAAGAAATTCAAAGTCAAGACTCTTAACTCTTAAGGAGTCCTGAAAACAATTAACAGGAAACCCTGCAAGGAAGTTACAGGGTACACTGCAGTTACTCTTCTGGCTATTGAGAAAAAGACTTCTCCCGGGTGAGATTTAAGAGTTGTTTAAAAATGCACATCAGTAATATTATAGGGTAGAATTCCGAGGAAAATTTTCTGAAACAATCTCCATGAAACAACAGAGATTGTGTTTCAGCTCCTATCTTGTAGTATAGATACTTTATAAAATCATTAGTTATCACAGATACTAGATTCAGTGTTGCTTGGAGCTGTTCTTTTACTGTCTATTATTTTCTTTTTCTTTATAGTGAGGATTGGGCAATTTAAAAATTACCCATAAGCTTAGAAACAATAAAAGAAAAATGGAATGTTGCTACTTAAGGACCAGAATACCAGAATAATTTTAATGAAATGTGAAAATAGATTCCTAATTGCAGGGAAAAAAAAAAAACAATCACAAAGGAGGTAATGCATATAAACAGAGAAACTGCTACCTTAAATTTTTAAAATCTTTACATTTGGGTAATCTAAAGAGCTAACAAGATACAGGAAAATCTATATTTTTCTCCTTTCTGATTTTAACTTTTAAAATTAAACTTCATCCTATGAGTCTTTTATTATTTATTTTTATTTATTTATATGAGTGTTTATCTGAATTAGTACAATGTATCAATCATAATGCTAGTGCTCATGATATTCCTGCTGGACACCTACATAACCTAGTCCATAGGTTAACAAAAGAATATGTGCTGAAACTCTGTGATCGCTAAACGTCAATTATTTCAAGAGCCTAGAGATTGTCCTTCAGAAGGACAAAACCCAACACCTGTGAGCAAATTGCTCCAGCAGCTATGAACATTTCACTGGACTTCAACTTAAATAGTACATGACTTGGCAGCCTTTTGGCTCCCAGCTAGCAGTAAGGGAAACGGAATTACTGTGTGGACAGTAGTGATCTTAGAAATGTGTATGGATAATTTTGTTGTTTTGATGTATTTTACACATATGCAAGTGACTTATGAGATTTAAATTACTGCTTCATTGTCATTTCATCTATAAAATACAAAGTATAGCCTTCATTATGTGCTGGTTTTCGGTTCATGTTTTATTTTCTGTTAGCCAGCAGATGTTTCATTTATTTATAACAAGCGTCAATAGTAACTTACTTTGGCTAATATCTTATATGAAAATTTCTTCTCTTCAGCTTTTATTTTATTTTATTTTTTACCTCTGACTCAAACTACCTTTTCTTTTAAATTAGCTTTCATTTCTCCTTTCACTTTTCCTTTCTATGACATTAAGCTTTGAGGAAGATTTAAAAGGAATGTAAATGGGCAGAAACRTAGAACTTGTCCTCTAACCACTTGCTAGTGATTGCTAGCCTGTTTTTGGTCAGTGTTCCTAAGAGAATAAAGAAATTTTGCTGAATGTATGAATAWTTTGGCATTTCAAAGATCTAAAAAACCTCAAGTATTCAAGCTCTTTTTATGCAGTACTTCTTTCCTTTTGATAATAAAATTTGCCCTAATCAGTTTARCACAGTAAACATAGTCTAACACAGTAAATAAAAATATCAATAAAGTAGTAATAACACAATAAGAAACATAAATGATAAAAAATCTAATTTTAAAATTAATCTAAAAACTCCAGTATAGAMTATAAACGATACAAATTTCTTTGTGGCATACACTTCTTATTTTGTTATCCAATCCTCTGACTAATAAAACTGTGTTGCTGATATTACTATGCTATTAAATATAAATAGAGTTAAGGACTAATGTACAAGCYGCACCTTTATGCTACTGTCATTCCTCCTGGAGCCATTTTTTAGCTTTGTTTAATAACTAAACTATATTTCTGACTCATCGCAAGGTATGAATTTACTACTTGGCCTGGATTCAGTAATCAAGAATTTAGTTCATATTTAAGCAAGAGTCTCACATCTAGAGGCAGAGCTCCAGTTTTTGTTCTAATCTCTTTTACCAAAATTTTCACAACAGTTTGTTTTTTCCAAGTGATACACCTCCCTGGCTGYGCTTGTCAATTGGCCA